ATACACATTGTTTGTTCATCGCCCTATTGAGTGTTTCTTTGGTATCTAATGATTCGGGTTTTATTCGTAATGTTTCATGTAGGATCTTTAAAATAATGCGTGCAGCTCCTATTTTGGTAGACTTTGGATTTTAAATTTTAAATAATCCAAAATCGCAACTCCCTCGTCGAAAATTGCCAGCAGAGTTCATTTCTAAATGTTTTTTGACAAGAAGATTTTCTTTCACGGTCTTGAATAGAATTTTTAATCTCCCATTGTATTAACTCTACTATGGGACAACGTTGCTACCCAGCTTTCTACTGGAAAAAAGTGCTTTATCCAGAGCATATACTAAAACAATCAGCAGGCTAACTCGAGCTTTGTATCCTAAAATAGTGGCATGCGCCACTGATCTAAAAAATAAATGGATAAGCAATCATACGGCTTGATTGGCAAAATTTGTGCGAAAATTTGGGGTCAATATTCTACGAACAGTTGTGCAACGGAACAGCCTAACGCCTGCGCAGTGTCTTATCTTTCGAACAACTGTTCCAAATTTTGAAATTTCTTCATTTTCATTGGCCAGATTTTGTGCACGCACAGTACATGTATCTACTGCGCACGCTCACAGCTTTCCCAGTCAGTTGTTTTTGTTTAGATTATGACCTCGTAAATTAGCAGCATTAGAAGCGTTCTTTGTTTATCCATTTATTTTTGAGATCAGTGGTTTAATCTCAAGTCCCTGCCGTTTTAATCCTAGGCTAATGCTGGTATGGTGGCGTGCGCAGAAAATATGCTAATTGCTTTTGTATATGCTGTACTTACGTACCTCAGTTAAGAGTGCGCTTCTCGATGCTGAAAAAATAGACATTTCGAGTTCGCGACTATGCTGTTTTAATAAAAACAGTTGCATCTAGCGAATTCTAACAAAAACTGTTTTCAAAAATGTACTTTTGTGCATGCTTGACCAGTAATTTTTTTTTGATTTTTCTCATTTTTTGAAAAAAAAAATCATAAAATGAGAAAAATCAAAAAAAATTTACTGGTCAAACACGCACATAAACATATCCTTGAAAAAAGTTATCAGTTAAAATTTCCTAGATGCAACGGTTTTTATTAAAATAGCAAAGGCGCACTCGCGATTTTCAGCATCGAGAAGCGCACTCTTAAAACCCCACTTTGGGCGCCACTGGCGCCAGTGATATAAAATAATTTTATGCAATATAAAAAATGAAGACCTGGCGTTATAAAGATTAATCTACTGAATAAAAGGTGTTGGATAACATACTGTCCAAATTGCCTGCTGAAATTGTCCAAAAATGACGTTAACGCCCCGGTAGGCTGACCCCCGGTCGCATTTTTGTATCGAGCGTCCAGCAACCCGCATTCGGGGTACCCGACCTCGGCACGTATCACGCGCACGGTAGTACGAAAATCACTCGGACTACCGTATGCTCGATACTCGCGACTCGCGCCTACAGTCTCGAATATCTTTTTGAGTTTTCCTGGCTCCTCACCATCAAGCTACTTGATAATATCATTGTATAAAAAGTCATAGTCAAATCGTAAAGCAATTTTAATTCTAGTAGTTCACTAAGTGGAATGGAAAGTAGCAAAAAACTTAAAGATTAATAAGATTTTGCTATTTGCCTAGTTATTTGATGCTGTCTCTAACAAACTATCCCAAACTAACCCTAAGGCTGTCCTTACCTTAACCTTTTGCTCAGCTCCAATTTGGGTTAGTTTTGGTGAGGTTTGTTACTTAGAGACAGCATCATAAATAATTATTTACATCTGCCTGAATCTAATCTCCGCATTTGTCAAATAACGATTGCAGGTATACAAATCCCTAAGTAAATAGCAAAAATCTTGTTAATTTTCACCTGCTTTAAAAATTCGATTTTTAAATCGTTCTAACATATTTCAAAAAATAGGCGTTTTTTTTTGGAGAAAAAAGTATAGAGATGATAATGTCATTGGAAGAATGGCTAACACAATAATTCAAAAATGTTTTCGAAAAAACGTGAAAGTGGCCTATTCTATCTCGCCATGGTATTCAGTGACGCTTTAACCTTTCTCTGGCCCGTAGGTCAATTATTTGGTATGGCCTTTCATGAGTGATTGTTATTTTTTATAGGGTTTAATAAAATCATTCAGACGATTTCAAACTACAAACCTGGTGGCCAATCCTCGGGCCAGGGAGTAGAGCTTCCCGATAGAACGAATGTTTTGTCCTTGTCAACGTAATCGAAAAGTAAACGAGAATGATAAAGACGAAATTTTTGTTCTCTCGGGAAGTTTCACTCCCTGGCTCGAGGATCGGCCTCCTGGCAGAATATGAAGACAAAAAATGTTGCCAAGTAGTATTCGGTCAAATCCAAGAAAGGTACTACAAAATGATGGAACAAGAATGGTCACAAAATATGCTATATGGTCGGAACGTCCTAGAAGAAAATGATGGCATTGAGCTGCCAGCCTACCAATCACCACATATGGATGCTGGGGACTAAGTGTACTGATGGGTGCTTCGGAAGAACAGCTGCATGGTTTGGGATCAAATCCATTAGCGAGGAAAAGATGCATAAAGGGTTGCAAATTTGAGGAAAATTCGTACCACGTTGCCTGTGCATGTCCTACAAGCTCAACAACAACAAGGCACGAGTTCGTGGTACACTGGACCCTTAAGACACTGCTCAAGTCCCTGGATGCTCCAGAAGAAGCTCAAAGAAACTTACAATTTGGCAAAGCAGCGCAAACACTAACAGGTTCCTGCTGTAGTCGTTGCCAGTTGCCACGTGCCCGTGCTGCGCTAATGACGCGACGGCGATTCAGCGCAGCTCGGTGACTCTAGTGCGTGTTCCAATGGAGCGAGCGGAGCGATTCCAGAGCATCGTGACGTCAGGCAGTGCACTCTGGCCAAACCAAATGTGCTTGTGCAGTGTGAATTATAAGAATTAAAGAGTATTGAAATATATGCTAGTCCTGCTATTAAATAAGTCGATGTTTTTGGTATAGTGGGCTTTTATATTTTATATTATAAATTAAAGGCCAGCAGTTGGCCTTCATTCTCCAGTGGCCCGTAGGACATGACCTAATTGTCCTAACGGATAAAGTGTCCCTGTATTCTATTCATGGTAAGGTTATGTAGATAAAACATAATTTTGCTCTTACTTATTCCCTTACCTCGACTTCCTGCTTAGTCTTGAAATTAGTTCGTATTTCGCTGGAATCGACAATGTGGTACATATAATTTTCTGGCCAGTGGATAATAAATGATAAACAATTAAAAAAAAAAAAAAACTGAATTGTTGGACGCCGATCCATAATTTCGCAGAAGACTAGTATCAAGCGTACGGTAGCTTGACAATCGATCGGGAAATCAGACGCTCGTTATCAGATAGGCCTCGGTTAATACGACGTTACCCGAATGCGGTATACTGGGCGCTCGATACAAAAATGCCCCCCGGTCTCTTCTCAATTGTCTGTCCTTCACTTATCTACCTAAAACTAATTTCCCAGAGCGCCACCAAGTTCAACCACGGTAAGAAACCTCATGAACTTGAAAATTGATTTCACCTTAAAATCCAAGCAAAATACGAGGGGAAATAAAATGTCCAAACATTTTGGCAGTGGATAAGATAAGAAGAACAACATCACTCATGAAATTTAGGCAGCTCCCTTATCCCTATTAGATATTTATTGGTAGGTACCTTGTATCCAAGTTTTAAATGCATAGGTAGGTACGCTTGGGTTGGACAATAAATGAGTACTAAGATTTAGCTTTGATAAATTTTAAATTTGAACTTTATTAGACAAATTCTGATGCTACATACATTTTTTTAAGGTTCTCAAATACCTGTTATACTGTATAAAGTATAACCATTATCAATTGAAAATCGCATCTCTATGGTGACTACTCAAAATTAGAAAAATACCCCTTATAATAATATAAAATAATTTTTATATTTTTATGCCTAGTCCTGGTACACTATAACAAAGACACCGCACGCCGGCAAAAAAACTTGATAATTGTTGGCGATGCCGCTAGGCTTTGTCACTTGCCGACAAAGCTAAGCCGCTCTTGTTGACAGTGTGAGATATTCTCTTTAGAAGTGGACAAAAGTATAAAATTACACAGATAATTGAATAAAAATCAATTTCAAATTTGAATTTTTAATAAAGGAATAATAGTCCCATTCAAATATTTATATTTGATTTATTTCAATAGTTTAAAACGGAATTTTAAGGATTACCTACTATATGAATTTTGCCCATTTATTTAACATATTAACTCCACTGTATTCTAGAGGTAAATCAGCTAGAATTTCGGGGCAATGGCGTTCGTCATTTCAGTTTTTATAGAAATATCTGGAGTATGTTTATTCTTTATTAACCAATTTGTTTTCATTTGTCATGATAATAATATTTAGACGCCTATGGATTCCCACGTGACTTCAAAGAGATCAACTGAGCCGCCTTTTTTATGAAATTTCAATTAATAATGGTTAAACTTTACCAATGTATATAATCATTGTTTTGAGTTTGTGCAGGAACAGTTCATAACTATTACAAAAGTAAAATATGACTTTATCCGAGTTTTTGGTTTGGACCATACAGCATTGTGTTAATACTTTTTCTTGCTGCCACGAAAGACTCAAATTGCAAATTGCAAGTCTCAGGTATCAGCCAGGCACAGAATAAACAATACGTAACTGCCGCAACAATCACTCAGTTAAAATTAGTCAGCAACGTTCGTTTCGCGTGACCGCTCGATGTCCTGTCGTCCATAATTAACTTGTAATATGTCATTTAAAAACATTTTAAAATGCCCATGCGTTAATGAATAAATTGCAGCATTTAATTAAAAAATGCAGTGATGATTTCCAAAAATACAAATAAATGTAGATAAACCAGAACAGTTCTTATCTAATCTATGCGAAACAACTAAACAATATATGCATAGGATGTGTAGTTATTGAAATATATTTTTATTCGTAATAAAATATAGTATATGCACCCAGAAGGACTAAAATGAAGGACGTCATAAAAGAAGCCGCTATACAAATAGGCTCCGGAGGTTCGGCGGGTTTCGCAGAAGTGTGCCTAATGCACCCTTTGGATTTAATCAAAACAAGATTACAACTGCAACAAGGAAAGGCAATGAACCGTCCCGAATACTATTCAGGAGTATTGGATTGTATACGGAAAATGTACAGGAACGAGGGGTTCTGGTCCTATTATAAGGGCATCGTACCCCCTATTTTAGCTGAGACGCCTAAAAGGGCTGTTAAGGTACCTAATATACTTGCCTTCATAATATTATATTTTTTTAAAGTCCATAAGCTATTTATTTTATTTTATTCTTTCAGTTTTTCACCTTTGAACAGTACAAACAATTTTTTTTGTTTGGTTCCCCTACACCTACACCTGTGGTAAGTTTTTTTGAATATTACTCTACTACCTATCTACTATTGTCCTGGAAATAGCTGGTTTTTGATGACAACTTTCATAGGAGTTTGGATTTTTTTAAATGTATACAGGCTGTCAATTTGAAAACTTCCCACCCCCATAAGCTTAGAAACGTTAAATTTAAGAAAAAAATGGTTGAAACATGTCAACTATAAGTTGCGTTGCCATGTAAAATTCAACTCCCTACTTTCAAGCCCCTACCACCCAGAGCCCCTCCGTAAAAAAATTTGAATAGAAAGGGGGATCAAAGGATACATCTTTTCAAAGATTTTTGTTTTTAGTTAAAAGATGATTTTTCATGAGTAGTACCTAAGCGACGTCAAACCTGGTGGGTACGATGACGGTCAGAGGACCTCAAATAAGCTAGGTAGCCTAACCCCTTGGGATGGGGGTGACTTTTACCTCAAACATTTTATTTCAGAACCCATAACCTAAAACCGTACATTTTATTTCGAAGGTCTGGGCCTCATCATACCACCCCACCCATGTTTGAAGTCGCTACTCTTGTGATTTATTATCAATTAACTGAAATCAAAAACTTTCTCCAAGATTTTGGCGGGGTTGATAGCGCAGACTTTAAACTAATCAGTTTTAATAAGGGCCGAAAGAGCTTCAGGTCCTGGCATTTGCAAATGCTGTTTCTTAAAGGAGTCACAAATAGAAAATTACATTTTATTGGTGCCCTACTTTAGAATGATTTGCACTAACCCTACTTTTCCCTTAGGTACTTAACGAGGGATCCCCTGAACGCAAATTGTTTTATTTATTTTTTTTAAATTTTAGATCTTGATTTCAGCCTTACCTGTGATTTTCAAGTTCACAATTTGGCGGATCATAACACCAAAATTAGCGAAGTCTCCAGCATTGATTAATTCGCTATCGTACTCATACTTGAAACAATCCAATTAAATATCGCATTTGCTCATCATCATCATTATAGGCATTAATTCGTTAGCAAAATAAACCTATATTCTGAACCCACAATTTCTCCCATATTGATGTCACACCTAATCATCGGAAGCCGGACGCTGTTGTAAACTAGCTCTTATCTGACAGCCTCGTTCTTTTCTACGATTCCCTTTGTCCTCCGCATGCCTTCGCCTTTGTCGTTCGAAGTACTGCGAGTCTTGATGCAGACTTCATCACAATCCGGGACAATCCAGTGCCTTAGCCTCCCAGTCACCCACATCGATCTGACATTCTTCCATGGTTCTCTTAGACTCATCTTTGCGTAGAGTTTAAATTGACTGCACAATAAGGAAGAAGTGACCTTAGCATGTTGGATGAGCATTATGCCTCAAGCTGGTGGAATTGGTTTCCTCAAGAATACTGTTGTTCGTTCGACGACCCTCCAGGTTTATTTCATGTATTTTTACGTAAACAGCGCTGGTGTACTTTTCCAAGCACTTCAGAGACCCTATTCTCGTAGCAGGGAAGGCAGGGAAGCAGCGTTCTCCTGAGAACGAAGGTTCTGTCTTAGTCGCCCATATTTATATTTCCATAACAGTGACAAAGACAGATCAATCGTTCTCGTGAGAACGCTGTTCTTCGGTTACGCCCGGTGTCGCCTGTTAGGTGGTCCCCGGTTTCATTCCTGTAAAGAAGTGTTAGTATGACGATGGAATTGTAGACTGCGATATTAGTTCGGGCACTCATATCGTGGTTGTGAAATACACTTTTTGTAACATGTTAAAATGACGCAATGATGCTATTCAGTCGTTCTTGAATTTCTGCGTCCGTATTGACATTTGTCGAAAAATGGCTAACGAAATACGGGAAGTATTCAATGCTTTCTAGAGGATCTGCATTAAAAATCACAGCTGGATCTGGTGCATTAGTATTTGCGGTAGCTTGGTTTAGGGCTATCGTTTTGACGTGATCTGCGCCTGTAAGGGTAAAAAATGGATGTTTTTTTATATAGATTGAATAAAAGCGAACTAAACTAAACCTGCGTTAGCTATAATATTCTTTGACTAAACTAAACCATGTCAAGTTCTCGACCACATCCGTTTGTTTGAATGCATTCATCATCAGCATATTGAATTTGTTGTCGATATCTTGGTCGAGCCAACTCGAAGTCTGCTGAGCTTGAATAGTTCTGTCAGAGATTTCAACACCCAACATGTCCAGACTTTCTTTGACAAGGTGAAGTACGGGTACTACAAATAAAGAGAATAAACTTGGCGCAATGACACATCCTTGCTTTACTCATGCTGTGATTCTGAAAACTTCTCTGAGTCCGTTGTCGCTGAGAACAGTGGCGTTCATGGTGTTGTAGGTACAGTAAACCAAGTGTGTTAATGAATTTGGACGGACAGCCGTTCAATGCAAGTATTTTCCAAAACTCGATTAACAGAGATAAACGCTTTGACAAGGAAAAACAAACATGTTTGCCATACGTCGATTTGGTCTAAAGCCGCACTGCGTTTCGGGTAGAATTGCTTCGACCAAAAGAATAATTTAGTCGGTTCAATCCTGCAGCTTCAATATTCTTTGGAAATTGCATTGGTGCCAAGAATATTGTTAACGAACCGGGCGGGATTATTTACGAGCCGAGCGAGTGCGAGTATTCCGGAATTCTATTGTATCCTCAAATAAACAATCATTTTATAAATATTTTCATAAAAAAGTGCGTTGTTTGTTAGTCAGTGTAAAAAAGAAAATTATTTTTGTATAAACTTAAGTGAATGCGGCTAAAAAGTGAAATACGTGTAATTGGCAAGATAGCGGGTTGATTAGTTTCAGCTGATTAGTGGGATAATTATTAGCTAGACATGACAATTGGTGCATTAATTCGAGCTTAATAGTGAAATAATTCGCGAGATAACTAGTCCAGTTTGAGCTAATTATAGGAAAATTGCGAGATAATTAACAAACTCTGATTCGACCAATAAGTGTTTTTTTTTTTCTAAACCGAAAAACAGACTTTACGACTAGGCCTGCCATCGAAAAACAAGTCTATGGAGTGATTTTTCTAGAACCCTTCATCGTTTTCTATTCGAGAATTAACACGGTAGGTACAGGAATACTGAGTTCGCCACTGGATTTAATATTTGAAATCAAGTTCAAACAAACGTATAGAGTATTTTATGGCGCTAAATACACAATCACAAACTGAAGAAATGATGCAAGTTGTTGTTGGACTTCAAGAATAATATCGAAGACAACAGACAAGAAGGGGAAGCCCGATGATAGAATTTAAAGCAGGACCGACTTCCAGCACTTTTACAACAACAAGAAGACCGAAGACAGAAATAAAGGCAAAGAACAGGTCCGGCTTCAATCAGATTATAATTTTTAGCGAGAGTGGATTCAACCAGAAATCTCTGAGCAATAAATCAGACTGGAGAAAATCCTGGGAGGGCAAGATACTAAATTCAAGAATGTAATAAAAGAAGTACGTGAAGCAGCCGGGAATGTTTGATAAGAAGTTAGAACTGGTTCGTCACGAAGTTGGAACTGTTCGCCATTAAGTTAGAGCTGTTGGTCATTAAGTTGAAAGTTTCCGCCAAGAAATGAGTAGTGTTGATAATAAAATCGAAAGGTTGCATTGTGACTTGAGATCAGGAAATGTCTCAGCTTCGCCTGCAAGATGTATTAAAGTTAAACTATACCAACCATATGAAGCTCTCACCAAAGCTATACAAATCGAAGCAGCCTATAAGGTATTCGAACCAAAGATCAGCGCTGTGTCAATACGAGAAGAAATAGAACCAATAGGAGAAATTATTGAAAACTCAATTGAGGAACTTCTGGAAGAAGTACGAAGAAGTTTCCAGAATCAGACAAGAGATCTTGAAAGAACGCACCGGTTACCGCTGCCGAAGAAGAGGACATTTTAAACGTGACTCTAGTGGTACGGATGATATCTGGTTCTCCTTCTGGTGACTTTCACCATTTGAGAGGTTCCAAGATTAGGATTTTTTTAGCAAACATCATTTTGGTTCAATGCAAGCATCGTCTGATAATTGATCAGCGTGACCGAGTTCCTGTTAGAAGCCTTTGATCGGAAACGGATAAAGAATGGAGCTCTTAACAGCTTAGAAGTGACCAATTAGAAGATGTGACATCAAACCATTTCTGAACCTGGAAGAAACCGGCTATTCCATATCAACCTGACAGGAAATCTTACCTAAAAGGTTAACTGTCAGGGCGCTATGGGCTAAATGGGACTCACTGTTAGTGGAAGCTTGAAATTCTTTAATTTGCACTTCCCTACAAAAAAATACCCTTCGTACGAATGGTAAAAGATATAGCTAGTACATTTTCTGCGACGCGCAGCAGCATCCTGATTGCCATTGATTTTTTCAGCAAGTGGCCTGAAGTTTTTGCTATTTCAAGCCATGAAACGTCTACAGTTGCTGAGTCTTCGACAACAATGTTTTACTAGGTTTTAAATCCCATTGGAACTGCATTTGGATCAAGAGTGCAACCTCGAGTTATGATTATTCCAGAATCTTTGTAAATAATTGAGAATTCAGAAGACCAGAACCACAACATTGCATTTAAAATCAGGTGGCATGGCTGAGAGGTTCAACAATACGACAGAGGAATATCTCTCTGAAGTAGTGCTTCGCGAGACCACAAACTAGTCTTGGTCTTGTCTTGGTCTTGGTAGCAAGACCAAAACCAAGACCAGGACCTAATAAATCTTCTCAAGACCAAGACCAAGACTTGACGTTCAAGGCCAAGACCAAGACTCTCTCTCGAGGCTCTTGTCTTGGTCTTGGCCTTGAAAAGAAAAATCGACTCAATATTAATAAAAATATGCAAATTCCTATATCTACTTTCAATGTCTTTTAGCGCCGGTTTATTCACCTTCTGATAAAGTATCAGGTATGCAATCTGAAAGATAAAAACGCAATCTGTAATCCCATTGGTCGGCCAGTTATTCGCAAATCAATAGAATTATAGAACGGTGAATTTATCTTGCGATAGTTACCAGGAAGTTTATCTGAGGATG